TATCTTGCTGGATTTCTAATAACATGTTCATAATATTTTCATTTGTTGTATCATTCTTTTCCATTATATTATTTTTAGTTTTTCTATTTATATTATTTTTAACAGCATCTGAGTAACTTGTTCCCATGTTAATTCTTCCCATTAGAGATTTATATAGTTGTGGCCTTTGTCTTTTATATAATTGTCCATATTTTTCAAAATCTTTTGCCACAAGACAAATGATCACAAGATGATCTTCTGCATGACATCTGTGACAAGTTTTCAAAACTGTATTTACTATTTTAGCTCTACATTCTCCTGTAATCTATTCAAAATTTATTATTTGGTCTTTTCCTTCTTGACTCTCAAAAGATGCTATGGCCATTTATTTTTTCTTCCCATATAAATTTTGTGGAAAATAACATATTTTGGCATCCAAAGGACTTATTATATTATATAATTCCCATGCTGTAATATCAGGTGGTAAATTGATGATCTTTACTGCATATTTACCTCTTTCCTTAAGTTCAGTAAAATTACATATGGGTAATATTACTCTGCATGATTCTTTCCTGATAATTTGGAATCATTCCATTAATAGATTTTCAGCCATGTCTTCTTTCTTAAATTGTACTATTGCAAATGATCACAATTCTTTTGCACTCATACTACACGAGGTTACATTTCCAAATTTATTTTTTATCATGCTTTTAAATTCTTGTTCCTGCATACCAATTGGTATATCCCAGAACTTAATTCCTTTTCATTATTTATTTTTTATTTTGGTTTATTGCTACTCTTGTTAAAGTTGACATATCATTTAATTATATTCCTTTAATTTCAATTTTATATGCCTTTTCTATATTTTCCTTTTTCCAGATATATTGCAATATATAGTTTTTTATCTTTCAAATTTTTTCAGTTTTGATTGTGATAATATTGATTTCATTTTTATTTAATAAATTTGCTATCACTTCAATTTTGTCTTTTAAGTTTTTTCCATGAACTTCTCCTGTTTTAATCCATGCTTTATACTTTTGTAAATTAATTTTTTTTCTCCATTCCTCATGTACACTTAAGAAACTATCTTCTGAGTTTACTGATCCATTATCTTCTGTTTTTGTATTTGTAATATTTTGCTCATTTGTTTCATTATTTTCTTTTTCTGTTTCAGTGATAATCTCTTTCCCTTTACCTTTTTCATCTTTTTTTGTATTATCAATTGCTTTCATATTATTATCTGTATTTTCTTTGCCTATACTATCTTGATTTAATAATAAATTTTCTTCTATTGGCTATAACTCCATGTTATTTGTAATTGTTATGTAATTTTCATTTCTTTGTTCAAATTGCTTGTGCCTGCTATTGTACTAGCTTTTGATCCATAAGTTTTTGCAATAATGTCTCTTGTGACACTCATTGCCTTTGACTTTAGGATTCTTCTGGTTGTATCTAACTCATTAAGTCTAGTTCCATAAATTGCTGTTGACCATCTTGGACATCTGCTCCCATTTTCTATACTCATTCCTGATTCATTTTGCTGTTTTGTTTGTCTTTTACTAAGAATTTTTCCTTGAATATTTTGGTGTAATTGACCAGTGAAAAAGATTCCCCAAAAATATTGAAGAAGAAATATTTAAAAATTAGTTCATATTAAGTATTTATTTTATGTCAATCTCTACTAAAAAATATTTGAAATTTTGTTAATTATTACATGAAAAGCTTTCTTTCTTAAAAGACTTTTTCAAATTTTTCACCTTATCTCACTTCACCTTGCCTTCATCACCACCATATCACCTTCATCTCCACCTCTCCACTTCTCCACTTGATCAAATAAACTTCATTCCTTTCCCTCATGTTTTAGACTCAAATTTCATAAACGATATATTTCTCTCTACCTACATCTTTATGAAACGTGACTTTCTATTATTTATTATTATTATTTATTAAAAAAGAAAAAAACAAAAGTTAGTAAATAATTTTTATTATAATATTTAACTTACTTTCTTCAACTTCTTTTTAAATTTTATCTCAGCCTTAATCTCCAACTATCTACTCTCATAATCTTCTTCCTACTTTCTCTTCAACTTCTTATCCAACTTCTTAATCTTACAGTCTTTAAAATATATTTAATTTTTTGAGAAATTAGGTATGAGATGGCTGAATGCATTTTTTCAAATTTGAAATTTGACATTTGAAGTAAGGGAAATTGTATGATACCTATATTCATATCATCTAAGGAATTATTTGGTTAGTAAAATCTCAATAAAAAAAACTAAACTAAACTTAACTAAAAAATGAAACAAAGAAAATAATAACACAAATGAACACTTGGTACATTGATAATAATAGATTAATTGTATAGTTTATTATTATAATATTGACCACAATAATAATGATTGAATTGATTGTCTGTTTTCTAAGTCTACTTATATTTCCAGTTAACACTTAAAATTTGAAATTTTCTTTTTAATACATTTCTATGGAGTATTTATCTATAGTCATATTGTCACGTCTGTGCAGAGTATTTTCACAACTGTGCAGAGTATTTCAAATAATTTCTCAAATCAGTCTCAAAGTTTACATCACACAAACATAATAATACACTCTATCTGCCAGTAAGTTACAACTAATACAATCAATTTAACTGGCCATCTCAAAACAAATAATAAATATATAATAAATAATAATCAAATAATAATCAATTAATCATGAAGGCACAGTGAGTAAGGTAGAGTAAAATCAATTAACACAGTATCAAACAATATTTAATAATATTTCACAATATTACAATACAAGATATAAGTTTATTAAAATATA